CCTGAGTTAACGAGCTGTATGACCCAGTGTTTATAGAAGGTCACCAACACAACAACCACACCCTGAGTTAACGAAAGGCATGACCCAGTAAAAATGGTCACTAACAAAAACAACCACACCCTGGTTAACGCTGACCCAGTGTTTAAGGTGCGTCACAAACACAACAACACACTCTGGGTTAAAAGCGACCCAGTGTTGAGCGCTGTCACGACACAACAACTTGCCACTCTGGGTTAACGAGCTGCATGACCCAGTGTTTAAGGTACAAGCAAGCCACGAACACAAAAAACTACACTCTGGGTTAATGAGCTGCATACCCAATGTTTATGTAAAGCTGTCACCAACACAAAAACCATAATTTGCTAACGAGTCATGACCCAGTGTTTGGCGTACAAGCTGTCACGAACACAACAACCACACTGGGTTAACGAGCTGCATGACCCAGCCAACTCCACTGGCCAACCATTACCCCAGTATCAATAATGTGGCTGATTACCATCCAGGTTTATTGTTGAGAGAGAGAGAGAGAAACCATTTCCACACCTTGCGTCTCCCACCCAAGCACGGTGACGCCTGTACATCTCAGACACAACCTGACTACAACCAACAGAAACTCACCAGCTGGATAGATAATAATAATAGTGTGTTACTGAGGAAAACAGTTTACATTAGCATAAGATACTTACTACAAGACATTGGTCAGACTGGTAAGTGGTCACACTCTCAAACATCACACTGCTGCCTCACTCTTTCTTATTTTTCCCATTACCATTTTTGACAGCACTCACTTCCCCAGCAGCCACCTCTGTCAGCCAGAGTTTGAGCCAAGGAGTCCCAGATGGGAATATACAGACAGGTCTCAAAAGGCAAAAATGGATCATGGATGCCCAGAGAGAGAAAGAAAGTTGCAAGAACAACAGGTGCATGAGGTAACTATTGTACTGTGCTGTGTTGTGCTGTGCTGTGCTGCTGCAGTGCTGTTGTGCTGTGCTGTACTAAGTAAGTTGTAACTGGGCTGTACTGTACCTGTACTGTACTGGTACTGTACTGTGCTGTATCATTGTATTGTACTGTAATATACTGTACTGTACTGTACTGTACTGTACCATCAGCTGTATCATAAGGCTGAATAATTGTACTGTACTGTACTGTACTGTACTGTGCTGTACTGGGCTGTATTGTACTGTACTGTACTGTACTGTACTGTACTGTATTGTATTGTACTGTATTGTATTGTACTGTACTAACACTAACTTAACCTAGCCAAACACACAAATTGTAATATATTTTTATTATGAAAAATTACAAAACATTTATGGTAGCTGACTGTACAAGTGATGGTGCTAGAGTGCACAATGAATTATGATAACAATTCTCGCTATTTTTTAGACTTTACTAAAATGTGTGTGTGAGAGTGAGCCCCATCCTTACTTCTGGCAAACCTTTTAGGAACAAAATGCTTCTTATATTTATAAATGACATAAAAAACACATTATTGACAATTATTTACTCCCTGGTTATTACTATTAATTATTTACTCCCTGGTTATTACTATTAATTATTTACTCCCTGGTTATTACTATTAATTATTTACTCCCTGGTTATTACTATTTACCCGTGGCTATTATTGACTATTTACCAGTAACTACGAACCTTGAAATAGACGAAGAAAATGCAGATGCCAAAGTAAACAAGGGCGTGAGGAGCCGAGATGAGGTCTGTCTTCTTGTCCAACACAAAGATGAGAGCAGCAGCGATGGACGCCTTGGTGGGGCTGTCAACGATAACGGATGAGTTACAAAACCTGCTGGGCTACGGTATTTATTGATAGTAAAACACCACTAATCCACACTAATTGGGTTTAGGTTTAGGGTTGGGTTAGGTTAGGTTAGGTTAGGTTAGGTTTGGTTAGGTTTGGTTATGTTAGGTTAGGTTAGGTTAGGTTAGGTTATTTTGAAATCATCAACAATATTTTGAGGTTAATTATTTGGTCTTAAGCCTTACATATTTAGATTAATGCCACAGATAGGTGGAGAGGACAACAGGTGGAGGTGGGGAGGACAACAGGTGGAGGTGGGGAGGACAACAGGTGGAGGTGGGGAGGTCAACAGGTGGAGGTGGGGAGGTCAACAGGTGGAGGTAGAGAGGTCAACAGGTGGAGGTACTCACAATGTAGGCTGCATGACCTCCACAGCCGCAGGGGTCCAGACTCCTCGCATCAGACGCTCTAAGATCTTCAAGAAGCCTGAACCATTACCTGAGAGAGAGAGAGAGAGAGGAGAGTCTGAGTGTGTGTCTCTACCTGAGGCAACACACCTTACTGAGGCAACACACACTCATAGTACAGTAAACACACTCATAGTACAGTACACACTCATAGTACAGTAAACACACTCACAGTACAGTAAACACACTCATAGTACAGTAAACACACTCATAGTACAGTAAACACACTCATAGTACAGTAAACACACTCATAGTACAGTAAACACACTCATAGTACAGTAAACACACTCATAGTACAGTACACACACTCTGTACACACACTTCAGTAAACACACTACAGTACAGTAAACACACTCATAGTACATACACACACTCACAGTATACACACTCACAGGCATACACATCACAGTATACACACACCTCACAGTACAGTACACACTCACAGTAACAGTACACACTCACAGTACAGTAACACTCATAGTACAGTACACACTCATATACACACTCACAGTACAGTACACACACAGTACAGCACACACTCAGTACAGTACACACTACAGTAAACACACTCAGCACACACTGTATGTACACACTCACAGTAACAGTAAATACACCCACAGTACAGTAACACACTCACAGTACAGTACACATCACAGCAAAGCACACACTCAGCACAGCACACACCTTACAGTACAGCATAGCACACACCATAGTACACACTCAGTCACAGCACACACCTGTAGCACAGTACACACTCACAGCACAGCACACACTCACAGTACAGACACACTACAGTACAGTACACACTACATACAGTACACACTCACAGTAACAGTAACACTCACAGTGCAGTATACACATAGTATACAGTATACACAGTACATACCAGTATATACACAGTACACACTACAGTATAAAGCACACTCACAGTACAGTACACACTCACAGTACAGTACACACTTCACAGGTACACATCAAGGTATACACACTCACAGTACAGTACACACACTACAGTACACACAGTACAGTACACACTCACAGTGCAGTACACACTACAGTACAGTAAACACACTCATAGTGCAACATACTCACAGTACAGTACACACTCACAGCAGTATACACATCATAGTACAGTACATACACACTACAGATAGTACACACTCACAGTACAGTACACACTCATAGTAGCACCACAGTAGCACAGTACACACACACATACTTCACAGTACAGTACACACACAGTAAGGTAAAACATACAGTATACATATACATACTCATACAGTACATCACAGTACAGTACACACTTACAGTACATACACACTCACAGTAAGCACACTCACAGTACAGTAACACACTCACAGTACAGCACACACTCACAGTATACACATACAGTACACATCACAGTACAGTACACTCACAGTACAGTACACACTCACAGTACAGCACACACTCACAGTACAGTACACACTCAGTACAGTAAACACACTCAAGTACAGTAAACACACTCACAGCAGTACACTCCACAGTACAGCACAACTCATAGTGTACAGCACACACACAGTACAGCACACTCACAGTACAGTACACACTCACAGTACACACTCACAGCATAAACACACTCACAGTACAGTACACACCCAGTACACACACTACAGTCACAGCACACACTACAGTACAGTACACACCATGCACAGTACACACTCACAGTACAGCACACACTCACAGTACAGCAACACACCATCAGTGCACACACCACAGCACAGCACTCACAGCACAGCACACACTCACAGCACAGTACACACTCACAGTACAGTACACACTCACAGGCACAGCACACACTTACAGTACAGCACACACAGTAATAAAACACCTACAGCACAGTAAAACACACTCAGTACAGTAAACACACTCAGTACAGTACACACTCACAGTACAGTACAGCAAGCACACTCACAGTACAGTACACACACCACACGTGCACAGCACACATAGTACACACTACAGACATACTACAGTATAGTAACACATCACAGTACAGTACACACTTACAGTACACACTCACAGTATATACAATCACAGTACAGTACACACTCACAGTATACACCTCACAGTACACACTCACAGTACAGTACACATCACAGATACAGTACACACTACAGTACACACACACTACAGTACAGCACACACTTCACAGCAGTAACACACTCATAGTACAGCACACACCACAGTACAGTACACACCAACAGTACAGTACACTCACAGTACACGCACATATACAGTACACACTCACAGTACACAGTACACACAGTACAGTACACACTCATAGTAAAATATACACACTCACAGTACAGTACACACTCTGTACAGGCACACACTCATAGGTACACACTCACAGTAAGTACATACACTCACAGTACAGTATACACTCATAGTACAGAAACACACCATAGTACAGTACACACAGTACAGCACACACTCACAGTAAGTACACACTCACAGTACAGTACACACTACAGTACAGCACATCCTCACAGCAGGCAGTACACACTCACAGTACAGTAAACACTCACAGTACAGTACACACTCACAGTACAGTACACACTGCACAGTAAGTACACACTCACAGTACAGTATAATCACAGTAATACAGTACACACTCACAGCACACACCAAGGTACACACACCACAGTACAGTAAACACACTCACAGACACAGTACACACCTCACAGTACACACTCACAGTACAGTACACACTCACAGTACAGTACACACTCACAGTACAGTACACACACTCACAGTACAGTACACACACTCACAGTACAGTACACACTCACAGTACAGTACACACTCACAGTACAGTACACACTTACCCTTGATGGTGCCAATAAGAATCATGCTGAGGTAGCCGTTGGGGAAGACTTTGGCTGCGTGAGTCACACCATCGTTGATTTTCTTCACCCTGCAATGATTAACGGTTACAGTGTCTCACTACAGTGTCTCACTACAGTGTTTCACTACAACAGTCCAGACAGTTAATGTGTTCATACTAAAGCACTGTACCTCACTAACTACCCTCAGTACATACAGTAGTGACAAAATTTACACCATTTATTATAATTACTAACATTTTAGGGTAATTTTATCATCCTTAAGGCATGTCAGAAATAAATTTAGAGTAAGTAAGTACAATACAGTACAGTACAGTACAGTACAGTACAGTACAGTACAGTACAGTACAGTACAGTACAGTACAGTACAGTACAGTACAGTACAGTTCCATAATGAATAAAGTTAAGATACAGGCTGCTTGGCACCTCAGAGTGAGGCGTCCTGTCCTGTTTCTTCAGTGTACATCTTATCGTGTAATACATCCACAAAATTATTACAACTACCTGCACGCAATACTGTAATGAAGTACATGTACAGTACAGTATTAATGAACGTCGTGCACAGACTTGGTGAAGGACAGTATTATACAGGATGTACCAAGTATTACACAATCCAAAAATAGCCCAAATCTTAAGACACTTTTAGCCATGTAAAAAGAACACAAAAAATTTCAGAATAATTATGTACGTTTACAGTGATCCCTCGGTTAATGAACACAATTCGTTCCAGAAGGTTGCTCGTTAACCGAAAATTTTGTCAACCGAAACCATTGTTTCAATGGGATTTTGGGTAATTGGTTCCAGCTCACCGAAAATTACATACAAACTAAAAATGAATGCAGTAAAGTACACTTACTTTGAAGTGTGCATGTAGAAGGCTCCTGGTTGATGATGATGGGAATTAGAAGTGGGGGTGGAGGAGAAGGGAGAAGAGAAGGCATTGGGGTGGAAGAGAAGTCACCCCATGCTGCCATTTCACCCATAAAATTTTAGTTCTCTTGGTGTAATTCAAGATTATTTTCTTTAAATCAACACTGCACTGCGCTATATATTATCAATATGTAAAATAAACTTCAGAATGACCAATAATTGTACTGTACTGTAAAAACATAAAAATAGTTTGTTCGAGAGAGTCTGAAGCAAGAAGCTTCCTCCACTGAGCAGGGACACACACTGACGCCATTTTGGGTGTGTTGAGTGGCTGTTTGGCGTGCTGAAAACTAGTTCCCTGTACTTAAATTACAGTATGTTAAATAATTGTCAAAATGACTAAAAACTTTAATATATGACTTGGAAAATTATTGAATAGTACAACCTTCTTGATATTTACTCAAATGGTAACGCATTTAAGCCCCAAAACCGATTACTGTATTAGCGGACTAATACTACAGCTGGTGAGCAGGCGAAAACACGTTGGGAAAAATTCGTAACGAATTCGTTAACCAAAATTTTTTCTTTAACCGAAGTGAAGAATCTTATGGAAGGTAATTCGTTAACAGAAATTTCGTTAACCGAGGCATTCATTAACCGAGGTGTTCATTAACCGAGGGATCACTGTACAGTGAACCCTCACTTTACGCGGTCAATTGAACCCACGGAGGCCCGCGTAAAGCGAGAAGAGAAAGAGAAGAGAAACGCATAAAGTGAACAACATAACATATGGGATTAATTGAAATAGAGACCGGGCCGACCCCCAAACTCCACTTTTTCCCGACACAATACCTATGTTCTAGTAAAAATAACATCTTAATTTTATGAAAATAACATCTTAATTTTATGATGGTACATCCACACAATTAATATTTAAGAGAAATAGAGAAATACAGTCACCAAGTTAATGTCCATTCAAATAATGGACTCAACTCCCTCCCCCTCTTCTCACACTGCTGGCTCTTCCCTCTCTGAGAAATGTTTGGGGGAAAACACTAGATTTTAAGGTATAGTAATAAATAATACCTCAAACTAAAGTTAGGATAATATAATTCACATTGCTGGATTCCTTGTAAGACCAGGAATATTTTGAATATAAATGTCATATATTTTGCACAAAAGATAACATATTTACTCAGAGTAAACAAAATACTTACAGCAGATCTAAAATTTGTATGTCTAATGCAAAATCTATGATGTTTATATTCAAAATGATCATCATATTGTAAGAATTCCAGCAATGTAAATTATATTCTGGCCGGGCAATTTGTATGAATTTTATGAGCTAAATAAAAAAATTAAACTTCACCCGCGTATATGAGTAGAAATTCCGGTTCTGGCAGGGTACCGCGTAAATGTAGAAACGCGTAATAAAAACCGTAAAAAAAAGGGGGTATTACTGTACTTGAAATTAATTTGAAAGAAAACCGCTGTGAGTGCTTACCATGGCTCTTTAGTGGCTCAGGAACAGAACCTAATTTGAGGGCATTAGTTCTCTCACACACACTCACCTGTACACCTCCTTCATGGCAGCAAGCAGGACTTTAATGGGAAGGAACTTGGCGATCTTGTAGCCGATGTCAAATGGAGAGTAGAAGATGACGTACCTGCCAACATATATTGTATTATTACCTTCAAAACAAATATATAGAGGTGAAACACAGGTGAAACACAGGTAATACTCAGGTGAAACACAGGTAATGCTCAGGTGAAACAGGTAATACTCAGGTGAAACACAGGTAATATTCAGGTGAAACACTGGTGAAACATAAGTAATACACAGATGAAACATTAGTTACAACACCTGAAGCAGGCCATCATCAGTCAATGGTATGGTAAGCTTAAAGAACTCTGTGGACTAAACAATAAGACACACACCCTCTCGTTCCTTAGCCATCTCACTAATGGTGACTCATCTGAGCAATCAAACAACCATTTCGCTACTATATGCCAGACGCTCCCCCGGCTTGACACAACCACTCTCCCTGCTTACCTACCAGCCCCCTTTCTCACTGACCGCACTCCAGTATATATTGAACAATCTCCAAGATCAGACCACCAACAGCCACTCACCATCAACCATACCAAGACCATGGTTATGCACATCAATCTCTCCTCTGACCTTGTCCCACCTCCCTCCATCACATTGGACCCCAACACACTCCAGGTTGTGGACTCCACTTAGCTCCTCAGCGTCACTATAGATAAAATAAATTGGAAAACTCACGTCAGTACAATTGTCAAGTCCTCCAGCTTTCGTCTCCACCTCCTTCATCGTCTCAAGTCTCTCAGTTCCCCCACCTGACCTCTTGAATGTTTATACTGTACAACATTCATAATGCCTAAGCTGGCCTACGCTTCCCCTGCCTGGTCTTCCTCATTAACTGCTACACAACAAGGACTCCTAGAGAGGGTGCAGAAGAAGGCGTACAAGGCTATTTTCTCCCTCTCCTACGCCACATATCAAGGGGCGCTCAGTACTCATACCCTCTCTGATCATCACCATGACCTCATCTGTTATCGGGGAGAAGCTTCTGCACCATCCTCAACACCGGCTCCTCCTACCACCTGAGATCCATTATAAAGATTATCAACAACTCATTGTTAACCTTTTTGTTCACTGCCTATCTCTTGCACTGTAACTGTACTGAAATTCCTCGTTAAATGACTCTCTCCTTGTTATTATATACAGTGACTCCTGCCAGATGAACACACAAGACACTGGAGCTTAACCACAGACTAAAACTTCACATCAACCTTGGGTCATAACTCAGCAGCAAAATTACTCACAAGAACAATAATGCAAAGAATAATATCACCAAATAGTAAGGTCACGGCCCCGTCTCTGGTCTACACACGCTCCATACTCCGATTTGTTTCTCTTATGTGACGACCAGAAGCATTGTGGTGCCATCCCTTAGTGAATGGCTACGGACTGAGCTGTGGCAGCTGTCAGTCATACACCAAGAACCTCAAGCGTATATACTGTATACGGTAGTTGGGTCACAACTGATTCCATGATTGGCAGAAGGATGGTGTACAGTATTGTGGTGAGCCTTAAGAGTGGCAACACACACACTACTGGTACAGTCTCCTCCTGTACTAACACTACACAATAAGCTAGAGCAAAGAACAGGCCAACACCTAGTGAGGTGAAACTACGAATGAAAAGATTGACATGTGTTACAACTTACCACACGGCCATAGTGTGGCCAGGAGGAACTTACCACACGGCCATAGTGTGGCCAGGAGGAACTTACCACACGGCCAGTGAGGCCAGGAGGAACTTACCACACGGCCATAGTGTGGCCAGGAGGAACTTACCACACGGCCAGTGAGGCCAGGAGGAACTTACCACACGGCCATAGTGTGGCCAGGAGGAACTTACCACACGGCCATAGTGTGGCCAGGAGGAACTTCCCACACGGCCATAGTGTGGCCAGGAGGAACTTACCACACGGCCATAGTGTGGCCAGCAGGAACTTACCACACGGCCATAGTGTGGCCAGGAGGAACTTACCACACGGCCATAGTGTGGCCACGAGGAACTTACCACACGGCCATAGTGTGGCCACGAGGAACTTACCACACAGCCATAGTGTGGCCAGGAGGAACTTACCACACGGCCATAGTGTGGCCAGGAGGAACTTACCACACGGCCATAGTGTGGCCAGGAGGAACTTACCACACGGCCAGTGAGGCCAGGAGGAACTTACCACATGGCCATAGTGTGGCCAGGAGGAACTTACCACACGGCCATAGTGTGGCCAGCAGGAACTTACCACACGGCCAGAGTGGCCAGGAGGAACTTACCACACGGCCATAGTGTGGCCAGGAGGAACTTACCACACGGCCAGTGAGGCCAGGAGGAACTTACCACACGGCCATAGTGTGGCCAGGAGGAACTTACCACACGGCCAGTGAGGCCAGGAGGAACTACACGGCCATAGTGTGGCCAGGAGGAACTTACCACATGGCCAGAGTGTGGCCAGGAGGAACTTACCACACGGCCATAGTGTGCCAGGAGGAACACCACACTGGCGCGATAGTGTGGCCAGGAGGAACTTTACCACACGGCCATAGTGTGTCCAGGAGGAACTTACCACACGGCCATAGTGTGCCAGCAGAACTTACCACACGGCCATAGTGTGGCCAGCAGGAACTTACCACACGGCCATAGTGTCCAGGAGGAACTTACCACACGGCCATAGTGTGGCCAGAGGAACCTACCACACGGCCATAGTGTGGCCAGGAGGAACTTACCACACGGCCATAGTGTGGCCAGGAGTGAACTTACCACACGGCCATAGTGTGGCCAGGAGGAACTTACCACACGGCCATAGTGTGGCCAGGAAGAACTTACCACACGGCCATAGTGTGGCCAGGAGGAACTTCACCATACAGCCATAGTGTGGCCAGGAGAACTCACGACGCCAGTGAGGCCAGGAGGAACCACACACGGCCATAGTGTGGCCAGGAGGAACTTACCACACGGCCATAGTGTGGCCAGGAGGAACTTACCACACGGCCAGTGGCCAGGAGGAACTTACCACATGGCCATAGTGTGGCCAGGAGGAACTACCATAGCCATAGTGTGGCCAGGAGGAACTTACCACACGGCCAGTGAGGCCAGGAGGACCACCACACGGCCATAGTGTGGCCAGGAGGAACTTACCACACGGCCATAGTGTGGCCAGGAGGAACTTACCACACGGCCATAGTGTACAGAGGAACTTACCACATGGCCATAGTGTGGCCAGGAGGAACTTACCACACGCCATAGTGTGGCCAGGAGGAACTACCACACGGCCATAGTGTGGCCAGGAGGAACTTAACACGGCCATAGTGTGGCCAGGAGGACTTACCACATGGCCATAGTGTGGCCAGGAGGAACTTACCACATGGCCATAGTGAGGCCAGGAGGAACTTACCACACGGCCAGTGAGGCCAGGAGAACTTACCACACGGCCATAGTGTGGCCAGGAGGAACTTACCACATGGCCAGAGTGTGCCAGGAGGAACTACCACACCCATAGTGTGGCCAGGAGGAACTACCACATGGCCATAGGTGTGGCCAGCAGGAACCACACAGCCATAGTGTGGCCAGGAGGAACTTACCACATGGCCATAGTGAGGCCAGGAGAACTTAACATGGCCATAGTGTGGCCAGGAGGAACTTACCACATGGCCATAGTGTGGCCAGGAGGAACTTAACATACGGCCATAGTGTGGCCAGGAGGAACTTACACAGCTGTAGCGCCAGAAGCAGCTGGTTGTTCTTGAGGGCACCAAGGATGGGCCCACCCAGGAGGAAGTTGGTGAGAAAGCCACTAGCAGAGATAGCCAACATGGACGACAACCAGTTGGCCAGAGGGGTGTTTACGGGAGAAGGGGAGATCCTGTAGTGTGGTGAACAACTCCTTACTTAACACAACAACTATTACACTCATAATAATGATACTATTACTAATATAACAATAATAAAGGAATAATATTAACAATAATAACAGTAATAATAACAGCAATATCACTACTACACGGTAATCATCAATGTGCACATTAATTAAAGAGAGGTTTAACATTAATGTCCCATTTCTAACTCCCAGAAAGCTCTAGATCCAACCATTCCAAGAACATCCTTGTCAGACTGGGTACCAAGGATATTTAATGGAACCCTTGAGTAGTTAAAGGATCAAGGCTGTGCTGGGAGACAATTTTTATAAGAAAATAATAAAATGAAAGATGATGATGATGATAGAACCTTAAATATGATAGAAATTGAGGATTCTAGCACCCTGAGGTAACATTTTATAATAAACTATTAATTGTTATTTATGGTCATAAGAAGTTTCCATTTGTTTGAATCTTGTGGCAGCTGTGATTGTAGTTGAGATGCCAATTCATTAATATATTTTTCTTCATTATTTAAACAAATATACGAACATTAGGAAACTTGTCAGGACGTTAAATAACAATTAATAGTTATTATTATAAAAAATGTTACCTTGTTACGCTAGGTTACGTTAGGTTAGGTCAGGTCAGGTCAGGTCAGGTCAGGTCAGGTCAGGTCAGGTCAGGTCAGGTCAGTGACTCAGGTGGGGTCATGGATCCTTTGGAGACTGTGTACAACAATTGATAGATGTAATTAATAAACAAAGTACTGTTTTTACATATACTGTATAAGTGTTCATTAAACATCATTAACTCAAACATTGCAGAGGCAGATCCAGGCATATCAAAAGGGGGTCAGAAGTTGTGGGTGAGGAACATGCCAAACACGGTGTGACCAGCTGGGGAAAATTGTTTGAAATCTGGCTAATATCATGGACATTTTGAGGCCATGTGCACTTGATATTTGGGAATATTCTGAAGTCAATAGTAATTACATTTTACTATACAAACACACCTGAAGACAATGGCCAGGACCAGTGTATCAACAATTATGGTTATTTGTACAATATACGGTGCAAGCATTCTGATCAACACCACATCAGGCCACCCAGCAGAGAACTTGTTTAAAGAGTTCACATGTCTTCTGTATCTCCTTAATTATGAAAATGTTTGTTGATATCTAGGTATCTACAGGAAGGTGAGACATTAATCTTGATATATGTATATATTTAATAATCTTAAAATTTAACTTATATACACTGGTACGTGGGTTTCAGGTGTCAACACTGAGCTTCTTTCTAATTCTACAATGTTAGCCAATATGAGGTGATCCAGAAGACCTCGAGGCATTGTTCTTGCCACGTCTGACAAATATGAGGTGAGCCAGTAGACCTTGAGATCTTGTTCTTGCCACGTCTGACAAAACAACCAGCATAATATGGTAGAAAAACCAGAGTCACATCACTTAATTCACAGTGATGCTTAGAAACTTGTTCTATTTTCTTAAGTTAACATTATAAGGCAATATTCAGTTGTCCGGGAATTAGGAAGCTAAAAAATTTTGTTACTTCATCCATGTCACCAGGAAAATGCCTAGCGCCCACAGGTGTTTCCTCGTAATATTTTGGTTGTTTTGTTATAACCCGCACATAAAAGCCTCAGCCTTAAAATTCTCAAAAACTGAAACAATCAAACGACCAAAGTAGGGCCGTCACCATCTGTGACTGGCCCCAAGTCCCAGATGACACGTGTCACTGAGCGGAGAATAAACGGTTTATCTATGTTCATAGTGTTTGGTAGCTGCAGCCTTGGGAATACTGTACATTGGAAGCATAATGTGTTGTATAATGGTAGACCCTGCTGCCATTATTTGACCCAAGTCCCAGGTTGATGATCTGACTTTCTGCCTCATTTACACACAAATTGTAGGGTCTCAAGTGTTTCTCTTACTATTGACAACACAATATATCATGTAGAACAATAATAATACCATGATGCAGAACAATAACACCATCAAGAACAAACTTATAACAAAAAGTGTGTGTGAACATTTTTGTACAGTGAAACAGACTAGGTGGCAGTGTGGTTCTAAATATACCACAGAGAGAGAGAAGAGTCCTATCCACCAACACAACTCTCACACTATCATCTCTCTCACTACTTCATCTTCTCACTATCATCTCTCCCACACACATTATCGTCTATATCTGACTTATCATGAACAACAGGGAGGAAGGCAGTACAGTAAACAAGATAGCCATGTCTACAAGTAATGTATATTTAACCAAAACATTTAACCCTCCTCCTCCTCCATGATACCAGCTGCTGCTACTTCCTCTTTCATAAGGACAATACTTGGCAAGGTTTAACCAGATAGTTCCACTCAGCTCATACTTTCTGCCAAATATTGTCTTGCCACTGAGACAGACAACAGCCTCTACTCTGAGGTCTACTGTATAATGAAACTTCAATTGTTTACCCTCATTAACCTCCCTAGTGCTGACCTAACCCAATGATAACTTAACCTAACCTAATACTAACTTAACCCAACACTAACCTAACCTAATACTAACTTAACCCAACACTAACCTAACCTAATACTAACAGCAACACTAACCTAACTTAACAACACTAACCTAACCTAATACTAAGTTAACCCAACACTAACCTAACCTAATACTAACCTTAACAACACTAACCTAACCTAATACTAACCAACCTTACTAACCTAACAACCAACACTAACCTAACCTAACACTAACAACACAACACTAACTAACCTAATACTAACTTAACAACACTAACCTAGCAACCCAACACTAACCTAACCTAATACTAACAACTAACACCCCAACCTAACCCAACCCTAACCTAACAACCCCAGTAAACACCAGGATTTTAAGACCTTCCTGTGAAATAATTTAAGGTGTTTGGTTAATTCTTCAGGTGTTAAGACAACCACGACCAGGTGAGAGGGAGGAGGTGTGTCAGTAATATTGGAACTGATCGATGAATTGGAACTGATGCGATGAATTGGAACTGATCAATGAATTGGAACTGATGCTATAATTGGAACTGATCGATGAATTGGAACTGATCGATGAATTGGAACTGATACGATGAATTGGAACTGATCGATAATTGGAACTGACGATGAATTGGAACTGATGCGATGAATTGGAACTGAATGATAAACCCGGTAATGTGGCGTGTGTAGAGTGAGCAGTTAACATGTAGAATTGCCACGGAACTGACTCCTTCCTGTAAAAACGGCACATAAGAATCTACTGAATAACAAAAACACGAGAAATGAGTTAGTCTAGTCCACTGATATATCGCCGATGGTTCAGTCACCTCCAGTGAGTCAGTTCATTCCACCCAGTGGAGTCAGTTCAGTCCATCTCCAGTGAGTCAGTTCAGTACCCCAGTGAGTCAGTTCAGTCACCCCCAGTGAGTCAGTTCAGTCCACCCCCAGTGAGTCAGTTCAGTCCACCCCGAAGTCAGTTCAGTCCACGCCAGGAGTCAGTTTAATCACCGCCAGGGAGTCAGTTCAGTCCACTAATATATACGCCAGTAAGCCAGCTCACTCCATCTTACGTGAGTCAGTTCAGTCCACCCCAGTGAGTCAGTTCATTCCACCTCCAGTGGTCAGTTCAGTCCACCCCCAGTGAGTCAGTTCAGTCCACCCCCAGTGAGTCAGTTCAGTCCACCCCCAGTGGTCAGTTCATTCCACCTACAGTGAGTCAGTTTGGCCACCTCCAGCGAGTCAGTTCAGTCCGCCAGAGTCAGTTCAGTCCACCCCCAGTGGTCAGTTCATTCACCTCCAGTGAGTCAGTTCAGTCCACTAATATACGCCAGTGAGTCAGCTCACCCCATCTTTCGTGAGTCAGTTCAGTCCACCTCCAGTGAGTCAGTTCACTCCACCTCCAGTGAGTCAGTTTGGCCACCTCCAGTAAGTCAGTTCAGGCCATCTCCAGTGAGTCAGTTCAGTTCATCTCCAGTGAGTCAGTTCAGTCCACCCCCAGCAGGTCATTTCATTCAACCCCTCCAGTGAGTCAGCTCAGTCCACCTCCAGTGAGTCAGTTCAGTCCACCCCAGCGAGTCAGTTCAGTCCACCCCCAGCGAGTCAGTTCAAGTCCACTGATCATTCAGTCCACCCCAGCGAGTCAGTTCAGTCCACCAGTGAGTCAGTTCAGATCACCCCAGTGATCAGTTCGACCACCCCCAGTGAGTCAGTTAGGTCCACCCCCAGTGAGTCAGTTCAGTCCCTATTTGATAAGTTAATATTTATCCAGAATCTCCAATAACGTGTAGTGGATCCCAGGACACACACACACACACACACACACACACACACACACACACACACACACACTCCACTCACTCACACACACACACACACACACACACACACACTCACTCACTCCTCTGCTGCCATACAAGCAACGTGAGGTGTGGTGAGGAGGTGTGCCCTGAACAGAATCCCAAAATTCCTGGCATGGCCACTACACTGCACCATCCACCGTTACTCCACTCTACTTCCCTCAACAAATAATATTTTCCTCTCCCGTGTGTGTGTGTGTGTGTGTGTGTGTGTGTGTGTGGTAGTGAGTGGTGGTGAGTAGTGAGTGAGTGTCCTTTACTAACACATCCTGGATGGTGTTGTGAGATAGAGGAGGATAGGCAACGCATACAACCATATGGCGACCAAGGAAAAATATAATAGTGTCCTTGACATAGTTGGCGTATACTGCTACTAAGCATTCTCTACTCTGCTCCAACATTCATTATATCCCAAAATATTTCATTGTTCTCACTTCAAGGTTAAGGATGTGACATACAGTACTTCCACCTAACTCTACATTTCTAGGTCTTAACACACACACACACCAGTGTTATTGGGTGTTAAAGATACTATGTCGAGTATTAAGACTTTGTTTAGTGTAATATTGTGATGGTCAATAAACTTACCTGTTACTGTATAGATGTGTGTGTCCAGGTACATTGT